TGTTGCCACATTATTTACTTTTTATTTTATTTATTCTTCTTTTTATTTCCACTTTTCATTTGTTATTCTTTTACTGATTTGTGTAATTTGGCCTCTCACTGCTCCATAATCAAATTATTACAACCACTAAATAAGATTCTTTTAATTACAACATAAACCAGAAACGAGCCCTAACAAGTGTTTTTGTTCTGGTGAGTTTAAGGTCCAAACATCATGGAGGCTCTGCGGTACTTACTTGACCCACATGATGGAGTTATAGAACTCCGGATCGATGGACTCCAGGTCCTTCAGGGTCGGCTTCTTGTCCAGCATCCGCTTGTAGAAGGGCAGCGTGAAGCCGGTGTCGATGAACTTCCCGTGGTACAGCGCCTGCAGGAGGACGGGTCGGGTCAGACTCTCTGATATTAAACTGTTATTTCAGGGAGACACATGGTTCCCATTAACGCTGGAGGAACGAGGAACAGCTCAGACGGTGATTCACAGGACGGCCGGGGCCCAGTCAGGTGTCAGAACCCATCTAACAGCCAGCCGCCTTCACAGGAAGCAGGAACGGGCCTCTACTTCTGGACCCACTTGTCACAGACAGAATGAGTGAAAGTGTGAGGAGTGGTTCTGGTTCTGAAGTCGCTGCTCCTGTTTGCTGCAAAGAACATCAAGGAGTGGCTTCAACAAACCGTCTCAACCCAGATCTGATGTTCTGGAATGACACCGTCTCGTTAGGGCGGATAAAAGATGAGAAACACGCTGCAGCTGTCGCGTCTTCTGGACCGAAGGGAAGAGAATCAGAACATCTACCCCCCATGTGATCTGTTCAAACCACCACAGAGGAACGACTCAGCAGAAAGAAAGAAGCATCCAATCATCTTCTGAAGCTCGACGTGACTTCAGCTCCGTTAGAAACTAACAACAACAACAAAAAGAATTTTCTGGAACCAGATGCTGTAAAAACTAAAACCTCTGAAGTGTTCTGGAAGTTTTCTCTACGGACTCTGGATTTATTCCAGCACCAGCGACACCTGAACAATGACGGACGAGTTTGTTTTTTTTTAAATTCCTGTAACATGAATTTTTCCAAAAACAAAATCAGAAGAATGAATCCTGATATTCTAAAAAAAAAAACTATCAAGAGTGTCTAATTTTAAAAATTCACCAAAAACAAAGCGTTTGCTCTGAACAGATTCTGAGGAAATCAAAAAAATCTGCTTTGTGCAAAATAAAAGTCATCAGTGACTCAGTTGTGTCGGTACCAGAAATTCTACGAGTCCGAAACAGACGGAAACAGTAAAGAGCAGAATAAACCGTCGTCGTCTTGTTTTCAGTCACTGACAAACTGTGTGAGCACAAACGTTGTCCAGGTACGTTAAATAATTATTCAGAACTTAGTAGAATAAAATAAATGCGGCAAATAGTTGGAGGACACCTTGTAGGAGCCATATGTGAGAGGTGTGTGTGTGTGTTGGACTGGTGCTGGTTGGTGGGCGTGTCACTGGTCTGATTATTACAGGTGTGCTCACCTGGGCACAGGTTGGCATTGGGTGATAATCTGTGTTTAGCGTAGTTCCTGTTCATCCTTTCATTTGTAGTTTCTGGTCGTTTCTTTGCCCAGTTTGACATGTTCAGTAACAGTTTGTTGGTTACCCTCCAATCCAACTGGAGCTTTCCTTTTTTTAAAATCATCTCTGAGTTCTGTCTCCTTCTTCGTTGGCAGTGAACAACGAGCCACAGCCAGAGCAGCCTGTTGGGGCTCAGATGGGTCAGAACATCTACAGAAATGTGTGCAAACAGCCTCAAACCGAGTCACAGTCTTCGCTCTGCGAGTCTGAGTCCGGTCCAGACGGAGCTGTTTCATGTAGAAAAGCCCAGAGAGCCCCGCCGAGCCAACAGCAACACAACGCCTCCCGGCCGGCTGAGTCACCGTCTGCTCCGTCCGGCTGCACCCGACCGGACCGGACCGACTGGACGCAGCGGAGAGGCGTCGAGGAGCAGCTGGAGCGTCGCTGCATTCAGAGTGAGTCCAGGACTAAATATAGGCGCTGCTGCTGCTGGGTGTTGGCCGGGTGGAGCGCTGAGCTCATGTGTGGGTGACGGCTGCAGGGCGGAGGCTCAGACCTACAG